TATATATATATATATATATATATATATATATATTTGATATTTTCTTAATTTGATAGTTTATAAGAATACTTGCTATATCTAATTCTTCTTATTATTTATATATTACATATTTTGTTTACTATAAAATAGTTGTCCATTTTATTTTATTCTATATATTATGTAAGTTATATTTAATTATTAAAAAATATTTCACTTTTGTATTTTTCTATAACATCAACATAAATAAGATATGTATGTATTTGAAAGACAGCCAAGATTTTCACATATGTAGTCTACAAAGTCTCTCACTCAAAGTAATAGAATTCGCTCCCTTTTCTGCAAGTGTATAAAACAAAGACCTTGCCAAGCTGCAGTGGCAGTGTACGGCGAATGAAATCAGAAACACAAACTCTGAGCGACACTAATGAAAACACAGGCACGCACTCGCCTGACTGAATGGGCCCTCAGAGAACGGAAGATAGAGAGAGTGAGAGCGAGAGAGCGAGACGGATAGAGCTGTGCAGGTGTTGCTGCTGACAAATCAAGCTGAAATCTGTCAACACCTGCTGTAGCCGGAGCGCGTGGCGCTGTCTTCTCATATGAACTGATTTTCTCATAGAGTTGTAGCTCGGAATGCTGTTTGTCGCTCTGGCATTTGTCTTAATAAAGTTGACTTTGCCAGCGAGCGAGCGAGCGAGCGACTGGCAGACATTGGTCTTGGCGGCCATTTTGTTAGCGTGCACCACTGTCAAGGCGCTGTCAGTGGTGGGCCAAGTGGAGCCCAATCATTGTAAAATTAATGCCATAAAAAAAATGCCTCACTCCAGGTCGCGCCGAGTGCAAGTGAAGTAAAATCAAATAAAAATTAAGTGCTGACTCAGTTCGTCTGGAAGAGAATCCGGAGTCGAGAGTGTGCGGCATGCAAAGCGCAGATAAGAAAACAACGTGGGGCGAGTTGGGGCACGGGAGCCGTCAAGATTTAGACACGGTTGGACGGGGCTGGGCAAGTAATTTACATGGCCACAAAATCCAACAACAACAACAACAACAATAGAAACGTTGGCCAGGACATAAAGCTGAGCGGCGAACGCATGAGTGCGTCTGTTTTTGCTGCTGCTCGGCCATTGGATAAGTGAAATGTGAGGCAAAAGCTCATACAAATGTCACTTCCCACACACTCACACGCACACACATGAGCTGAGCTCTAACCCAAAAATGCGATTTGAAGTCGGGCCAATGCATTGGCCATGTGAACAGAGCGAAGCAGGTGTGAGCCGGCGAAACAAATGATGCAAATACGTTTCCAGAGCCGCCCCAAGGAGAAGAAAAATATTCAAGAATTTTTCTTCGCTCTGCGGCAATTTTTACCTGCCTGCCGCGTCGCGGGCGTTGCCATTGGAAGTTAAGTATACGTAACGTAAACGCAAATTTAATGCTTGAAAAATTCGCTTAAATGGATTTAAGTGCGGCATTATTTTTTTTTTTTCCTCTCTGCTTTTTTGTTTTGCCTTCGTTCCACTCGGGCTGCCACTGATGCTGCTGCTCCTGCTCCTACTGCTGCTCCTGCTGCTGCTCCTGCTGCTGCTGTGAGCGTTATCTTTGTGGCCAACGTTTGCCGGCAGATAAATGAAAATCTTTTAAAAGATGAAGTAGCAGCCCCAGCCGGGCAGGACACGGCCTCTCGGCCTCTTTCGGCCTCTGTCTTGGCAGGCTTTTGTGTTTATTGAGGCTACTTATCGACTGTACACAGTCAAGTTAACTTTGGGGCTCTTTGGTCAGCCGAACGTAGCTGCTTTTGGGCTACGCCCGGGCGTATACGCAATGAAAACTTAATCAACGCACAGCCTGCCGCATGACGCATTTATGTTTAACATGGCGCACACACACACACACACACACACAGAGGGCCGTAATGCATTTGCATAATCAACTGACGACCTAGTTACCAGGGGCTTTAATGCATGCCACATGGCAAACGCAATCATCTTGATGCACAGCTGCCCGCTTGGCTGCACTTGATGCACTTGACTTGCATTTGATACTGCTCCTTTCCCTGCTCCTGCTCCTGCTCCTGCTCCTGCAACTAATACAACATGTTTTATCTGTCATGAAATTTATATGCTGACGCACAATATAATCAGAAGAGCGTGGCTGGCTAACGGCGCTTAACCTCTGATGGCGGCATTTAGATTCGAGCGTTTATCGTTAGCCGCAAATCGATGGCAACAGTTTCTCGCTCTCTGGGGCGTTGGACACTCAAAATTTACGACTCAACTCTGGCTGACTTGGCCCTATACAACAGCAGCAGCAGCAGCAGCAGCAGGAGTAGCAGCAGCAGCAACAAGGCGCGCACATTCTTTTTATAGGCAATTAAATTCTATAAGCCATGGCAACTGGCAGCAGGAGAAGCTCAGTCCAATCTCTACCAGAACATGAGATTTGCATTTTTGGCCAGTGTCTGAGCTATATTGTGTTAAAAATTTAATTCACCCACCCCCCCTCACACTTTAAGCCAAAAAAAAAAGGTCAAATGGAAAATGGAATAAGAGAAGTGAAGAAAGGAAAGCGAAACCCGAAACAGAGCAGCAGACGGGTCCGGTCAATGATAACCTTCAGCATTATAGTGTGAAGTAATGAATATTAAAATGAAATTTGCAGAGACACTTCACACCCGCACACACACACACACACACACGCACACACCCATACAGATGGAAAATCGAAGACGCAACAACAACGCGCGCAGTTGACAGAGAGCAAATATTTTGACAGCTGTCAGTTGAAGAAAATGATTTTACATTTTTTTTTCGAGCTGCCGCTGCCTTCTTTGTATATTTTAACGGGTATTCTGTATATGTATACATATGCCTGTGTGTGTGTGTGTGTTTATATATGTCCTTTTCACACCAATTGGTGCTGGAGTAGGGTCTTTCATGCTGGCGCAACCACATGCCAGGCTGATAGACAGGCAGACAACGTGACTGCTCCTTTAACACCAATTGCTTTTTAATGCATGCATGCCAGAACGAGAGACAGACAGAGGGAGAGAGAGAGGGAGAAGAGAGAGAGAGAGAGAGAGAAGACAGGGCAAAACAAATATATGTACGCAGGACGTTTAAAAAAAATTGATTGACATTTTTGGTGAGCACACATTTCGTCTTATTTTATATGCAAAGCAGCAACGTTCGCACACACACAGCACACACACACACACATACATATGTCAATGTCGCTTTGACAGACAATAATGACGTTAAAATTCTCAACATTTTGCTGACGCTATTTGGGTCGTATTTGTTGCTATTGCTGCCAACACGTGCTGCTCGGGCTTGAATGCTTTAGCTTAAGAAAAGCTTAAACAATTTCATAAAAGGGCAGCCAGATCTAGAGACAGGTTTACTTGGTTTTAGGACAGGCAATTAACGAGCTAAAACTCCTAATAATAGAGTCAAGTCACAATTTTATATATATATTCTTTCAATTCTTTGCTTTTTCTATAAGAAACCGACAGAGTTTTGGCTGATGGAAAGATCAGTCAAAGGGAAAGCTGAACAGGTGTTCAGCTATCTATCATCATCTGGTTTATATATAATATATAACATATAATTCAAACTGCTGCTGCTTTCATTGCATATTTAAAAGAAAAACTTTTACAGATCTCACCGCGGATCTCTAAACTTTAATCTCTTTATTATTATTATCTATTTTCTAACGTCCCTGAGCTTGCCTCTTTTCTGTTGGCTCAGGTGAAACAAGTCATATATATATATAATAAATAATACATACACACGCCTCCTCAGTCCGCGCACTCCGTGTCCTCATCTCTGTCTGGCAGTGGCAGGCGAGCCAGCTCTGGGTACGGCCACACCGAGGGCAGAGCCGTGCCGAGATCCGTGTAATACTGATAGTCCTTCACGTGCTTGGTGATGTCCTTGGGTATCGGGTAGATGGTGGCCGCGCCGCAGCTGATGATGTGCTTGGCCACGGCCACGCCCACATGGAAGGCAACATTAGCGGCCTCCTTGACGGGGGGATAGAGCGCGTTCTCGTTGGGCGCAAACTCTCGGGCATATTCGGCAATCGCATGCGCTGTCACCAGGAACACTTCGTCCGTGATCGTGTGCGGCTTGGTGCAGAGAACGCCCAGGGCCACGCCCGGAAAGGAGAAAGCGTTGTTCGCCTGCGACGGCGTCAGCCGCTTGCCATTAATCACAACTGGCGGAAATGGCGAACCCGAAGCATACAATGCTCGACCCTGTAACCGCAATGAAGAGAGGGTGAAGTAGGTGGTGCGAGTGGAGTGGGTGAAGTGCCTTCGCTTACCTCTGTGAAGTTGTAGGCCTGCTCGGCGGTGCACTCGGACTTGTTGGTGGGATTGGAGCAGGCCACAATCGCTGGATGCTTGTGGTTCTTGGCCATGCTGCGTAGAATTTTCTCCGTGAAGATGCCGCCCTGGCCAGTGGCGCCCAGCAGAATGGAGGGCTTCAGATCCTCCACCAGTTTCTCCAGATTCTTCTCGGGCGGCAAGTCCTTGGCGAAGCGCTTGATGTCTGGTATGATGAATTTCTTTCTGTCCTTGGTCACAATGCCATCGACGTCGATGAAGTAGATGTTCTTGACAGCGTCCTCCTCCGTGATCTTGCGGCTCAGCAGCTCCTTGAGCAGCAGATTGCCCACGCCCAGCGCTGCACTGCCGGCACCAGCAAACATGATCACGTGCTCGTTCAGCGGCTTCTTGGTGATGTGCTCGGCGGCGAGGAAGCCGGCCAGGCCGCAGGAGGCTGTGCCCTGGATGTCGTCGTTGATGTAGCAGTACTCGTTCTGGTACTTCTTGATGAACCTAAAGGCATTGGGCGTGGCAAAGTCCTCGAAGTGAATCAGCGTTTGCACGCCAAAGGTCTTCACGACCGACTGCATGAACTCGTTCACCAACTCATCGTACTCCTCGCCCTTGCACCGCTCCTCGCGCACCCCGATGTACATGGGATCGCACAGCAACTGCTGATTGTTGGTGCCCACGTCGAGCACCACGGGCAGCAGATACTGCGGCGGAATCCGGCCCAGTGCCGTATACAAGTCCAGCTTGCCCACCGATATGCCCATGCCATTGGCGCCCAGATCGCCCAGCCCGAGGATGCGCTCCCCGTCGGTCACACACACGGCCCGTATGTCCGTCTCCGGCCAGTTGTTGAGCACGTGCGTCATGTGCCCCTTGTCGTACTTGCTGACATACAGGCCCATGGACGTGTGGTAGATGTGGCTGAAGTTCTGGCAGACTATGCCCACCGTGGGCGTGTAGATGATGGGCATCACGTCTTCGATGCGATCGATGATGAACCTGTAATAGAGACGCTCCTGGCGGGCGCGCAGCGCTCGCAGATAAATGTAGCGGCCCAGATTGGTCTTGTGCGCCTTGAAGTTCGTGTAGACGGCAAAGAGCTGCTCCTTCTCGGTGCGATGGCAGCTCGGATAGAGGCCAATTATGTTCAATATCTGGCGCTCCTTGTGAGTGAAGGCGGTGCCCTGGTGTGTGCGGTTTACCCTTAGTCACTGTTTAACACGCTCCCCATGCGGCTTGGCTTACCTTGTTGTACTTCGGATCCCAAACCTTGCGATAGTCCGTCTTCAGGACACTCGCATGCCAGTTGCGCAGGGGCGGGCTGAGGCGGCTCTTATTTACACTGCTCTGGTGCTTGGAGGCCAGCAGAGAGCTGTGGGAAAGACGACGTTGTGAAGCGGCGAACAAATCACGTTGCGCATTTTACGTACCTCAAATTTTGTCTTAGGCCAAATTTTAGTGCGCCGCAAGCCATGGCAACAGCGCTTAACTAATACTCAATGCACGCGGCAGCCTAGAAGAAATGTATACATACGAATTAGGGTTACCAAATTACACTCTAAGAAATATCGTTTATTAAAGGAAAAGCTGTCTATGTTTCTGTGTGTCTCAATGTGTCTGAACTGGAGTGAAAGTTTTACAATTATAATCTGAACTGCAGCTGTTATACATTTAATATATAATTACATTTTTTTTTTTTTATATATTTGTATTTCATTTTTTTTTTTAATTTATTATATTTTTTTAAATTTATTTATTTTTTAAATTTTCTTTTATTTATTTATTTTATAAATTTCATGTTATTTATTTTTAAATTTAATATTTTTTATTTATATATTTTTTTTCCATTAAATTTATATGTTTTTGTTTTACTTTTCTACTATGAAAATAAAAAAAAACACTAAAATGGGAAAACATTTGTCAACTAGTATGCAATATTTGCAGACATTTGTTTTTATTTATTTTCATTTTATTTTATTTCCTTTTTTATTTTTATTTTTCTTTTACTTTATTTTTATTAATTATATTTTTTATTATTTAATTTTTATTAATTTATGTTATTTACTTTAACATAATAAATTTTATTTTATTTTTAATTTTACTTAATATATATATTTATTTTTTAAACTTCTCATTAGCTTTATTATTATTATTTTAGTTTTATTTAATTTGTTTTTTTTTTTTTTTTTTTCTACAAAGATTTGTACAATTTTTATAATTTAAAAAAAAAAAAAAAACTATAAAATAGAGAACCTTTTGTCAAATTAAACAAGTCATCATGTTGTTAAGGAAATTACAAGAAAAATAAAAATTTATTGAAACAAAAGAGGCGAATTGAAGCAGAGGATTTACGCATCGTTAAAATAATGCTGTTCCGTGTTTGGGGTCTGGGTCTGGGCCTGGTCAACAACGACTAATTTGCATAAGGGTCAACTTGTCAGCAAGTGAGCCACGCCCACTGGGCGGCGACTATTTACATAGATACTTGCTTATTATTCATTATGTATCTATTATTATGCAAATCACTACGAAACTGCCAAAGGAATGGCCCGGACTTTGCTCATTTTGATGAGCCTCTCGCTGCTATTATTGTCGTTGCTTCTTCTACTTCAGTTGTTGTTGTTGTACTCTTCTGGTGGGAGCATGGGTGTGGCAGCCATTGTCAGTCGTCGCTCATTAGCCGCTGTTTTATTTTGTATGTTGACATGAACGGGCAACAACTCAAATTGACTCTTAGCGCTGCCATCAAAGGATTTGCCAAAGACTCAAAAGTTTTGGCCGCCTTTTGGCTCTCGCTCAGCGCTGCCTGCTAATTGCGCCAAATTAGTTGACAACTTAATGTCGTAAAAATTTGAGCTAAATGCCTCAATCTTTCGTTAATGGCATTGACAGTGGTGTTACCTACACACACACACACACACTCATACACACACACATTTATTTCGTGGCACGTGACGTCTCTGAGTACGTGACACTTGGGCCGCAGTCGCTGTCAAATCTGCAAGGCCAGGCTTCACTGTTTGTTTACAACTGCCATGCAAGTGTGTGTGTGTGTGAGTGTGTGTGTGTGTGTATATTTAGTGTATTGTTCCCGCTTTATACACAAGTCCTTTTGTCTTGCTGCAGCCGCCCCATAAATTAGCTCTCGCAGCTAAATTATAATAGTTTAATTAGTTTTTTTTTTTTCTGGTTCGCCCGACACACGCTGCCGCTGACAGTTTCATTAATAGATGCATAAACTTTAATTAACTGAAGCTGAAATCAGCAGAGGGCTCACTCGGCGACCTTTAAGTGTGCTGTGGCCTTTGTTTGCTTTGATTTGCCAGCTAGATTAGCAACGTGGCGTATACGTAATGTGCGCTATTTATTACTGCGCGGCGTATACTTAATGTGCTTATATGATCTTTGTATTGCTGTACTCATGTGAAATGCATTCTCCTCTCTTGCAGAGCACGTCAAGGACTTCAGCTGCGGCCCGCTGCACTACAAAACCTTTTACATGGATGAGCGCAACAATGCGCTCTACGTCGGCGCCATGTAAGTACACCGAGGCTAGAATTATTTGGCTGGGTGCAAGGGTATACATTGTGTGTATATGTGTGTGGGCGTATGACGGGTATCTAAGTTCGTTGCGGTTTGCCATTTGACGTGCTCGAGCCCGCGTTAATTGCGCACTTCCGGTGCGACTGTGTGAACTTCCGGCTGGCACTAAAAGCAGCTACGCGAAAAGCTTCAACGCATTTGAAGCTGCATATTTCATTTTGGAAAGCCCAGCGTCCAAAGTGCCCCGAGTTGTTGGCAACACTGTCGGCATACATAATTATGAATTAATGCTCGACGTGCGGTTCGAGGGAGCCAAAGCCGAGGGACTGATGGCTGCGGTAAGGCTCCATTCGGATACGGGTCGGTGTAGAGGTTGAGGTTGAGGTCGGGGTCTGGTTCGGGGTCGGGTGGTTCAGGTCAGAGAGCTGAGAGCTGTGGGCAGGTCGCTCTACTGCTCGAGCTCAATTTGACAATGCCCGTCGTCGTCTGCTCATTTGTCTGCCGCAAGTTGAACATGGCCGCATTTTAACAGTTGCGGTCTCTCGCCGCTCCCCCTCCGCCCCCTCGCTTGCGCTGGCAAACAAAGTAACCAAAATTACCACTTGACTCGAGCGCCATTTTTCCAACGCAACCCACAGCCGGCAGCGGTCGTCGGGGCATCATCAGCAGCGAGTGCCACTGCCACGGCTGCTGCTTGCCCCTAGTTCTCGCAATGAAGATTAATGGTTTCGAGTTGTTGGGGCGCCGCACTGCCAGGGCCTAAAACTCTGCCGGCAACTACATAAAACACACTTTAGCACCGAGTTTCGGCGTCGACGCGTTCCCCTTTTCAGTCGGGTCTCTGCAAACTTTTGAGTAGCCGGCGAGTGTGGTAGTGTGGGGGAGGGGGCACGGCAAATGCTGTTAAAGTTGGTCCGTGTAGCTGGGCCCTGTGGACGCAATATTGCGACATCGATATATCAATCCATCAATCAATCAATCACGAGCACGAACAGTGCAATAAACGTAACAGGCCGCCGCAGCCGCCGGTGATGAGCAGGTGCTGCGCTTCAGCCATGTGCAACGCAACGATTTTTCAAAAAATACCAAAGATAGACAGAGGAAGAGGGTGAGGGTGAGGGAGAGGGAGAGAGACAGATAGCTGACTGAGAGACGCCGGCAAATAGACAATTTCAATTGCTTGACAGCAGGCAAAGTCGTTCTCGAAAGTCGCTCGAATGCCGCCGACTGACAAACTGACGTCTGCTCCTCAGCCACTTCCTGTGTGTGTGTGTGTGTGTGTGTGTGTGAGTGCGGGTGTGTGTAAGGTCACGCTCTTGTGCTGATTGCGTTTCACAGCACAGCAGAGCATTAACTTATCGTGTGTCAGAGCACGAGCGCGGGATTAGCTCAAGTGTCACTCGAGCCGCCACATATCTATCTGCAACAAGCAGCAAACAGCAACAACAACTGTTAATATATCTCTCATTATCTCTTGCAGGGATCGCATTTTTCGTCTCAATCTGCGCAACATCAGCCAATCGATATGCGAGGTAAGTGAAACAAGGCTCAAGAGCAAAAGCAAAAGCAAAGGCAAAAGTAAATGTTAAAGTCAATTCTCAATTGACTGCGGGTAAAGCAAAAACTGCTATGGAAATATAAGTGAAATGAGCGATAGTTGGGAATGATGGACTGCAATATATTCTATAAAATAGATATATAGTTTATAGACATAGCAGAGAAAAGAAACTAGAAGAAAAGGAAACTATTCTCATTTGGAAATTAGCAAATGAAGTTTAACTTTTTATTTTATTAAATTAACTAATATAAAAGCCATATGCAGGTCGTTTGACTTGGGCTTTTGGCAGTCCTCAATGGGTCTGCAAGTAAACATAGATGAAATCAGCCGCAGCCTCTGCTGTTTTCTCCTATGTAAATACAGCATACCCTCTGCTATATATTCCAGGGTATTATAAAAGCGCATGTAAATGCACAAAACACTTACGCACACCTACACACCTACACACACATAGATACAGGCGGGCAGACACTTTTAGCCTCTTCAGTATTGCTAGCCAGACAGAATGTTGTTGACACACTCACTCACACACACACACACATACCCAGGTTTGCATATGAACAGGTTACACTCACTTGCAGGCTTTTTTTTACCTGGCCAGACACTCACTGAAGATGTTTGTCGAGTTTGTGTTTGGCTGCTGTTTGTGTTCGCACACTCTGTGACATGCTCTCATATAAATATTCGCACACACTCACACACACACTCGCACACACACACCTGTGTATAAGTTTGTTTAAGCATATGTCTGGCTGCGATACGTTTATTTCTTTTTCTTTTCATTTTTTTCAAGAGCTTTGCTCTGAATATGCTGCACTTATATATATTTTGAATGAAAGTTAAAGCTTTTGGCCTTAAAATTAAAAATATGTTTTTAATTTAGACTAGGTTTGCAGTTTGCTCAAACTAGTAATGTTAGTATATATATTTTATTTTTAACAACTTTTACTTTCCTTAAATATAAAAAATTTTGTAATTTTTCTACCTGATTCAGTCTGGACACATGAGATTCTGTGCTCAAAATATTATCATATCATATGACACTTGAATGAAATCACAGCAAATGTTTAAGCAGAGTGTCAACTGCAGAAAGACATATCGATGCTTGCTTGCAGAGCTGCATAAAATTTAATTAATATATTTTCATTAAGAATAATTACAAAACTAATTAAAACTGTCAAAATGCCAAATGCAAATTCCTTCATATGACAAACTCTGAATGTAGAATATTAAATGATGGCATTTCGATTACCAAACGGAAGTGTGTGAGAGAGAGAGAGAGAGAGAGAGAGAAAAGGTGGAAAGACTAAAATGCAAGAGTCTGCATGCGAGTGCACATCTCATTATGCTCTGCTCCACATATAAATAGATATTCATATAAAATCACTTTGAGTATGAAAATCGAGGCGGAAGGTCGACAGTTCTATTCAAGTATTCTAGCTGAAGAGACAAAAACATGCGCATCAGCAGTTGCCCTAGAGAAAGTCTAGTTATTTGATTGCCAAATATTTATATACACAATAAAACAGTTTAAAAAGTTCTTTCTTTCTGTTTTCCTTGGCTCTTCCTTTAATTAATCGATATTTGTTGTTTTTTTATTTGTTAGATTTTATTGCCAAGTGATTTCAAACCATAAAGTATTTGCGATTTACGATATTCGGAACTGAAGTCGAAAAACTTGGCATTTTTGTGTGCGCCCTCACATCCGTTCTGCTCAAGATCTATGTAGGCAACGCCCCAGCCCACCCCCTGCACAATTGCACTTTAATGATTTCGTCTTCAACTATCAATATCCGTTTCCGTTTCAAGTTCATTGAATTGGCATTTGGCTAGTCCGCACTTGCAGCTCGCATTTCGCAGAGCTCTGGAGAGCTGCGTACTGGACTGTCTGCCATTTGGCACATCTTTAGAGTCATCCGAGCGACGCTTCGGCCCAGTCGGCGGCAAATGCTTTCAACGGCAATTATTTGTGCTGACTCCTAAACGGCCAGAGCCGAGTTCGAGCTCGCAAATTGCGTTTCAAGTTGAAGCCGGAGCACTTAGCCGCTTGCCCGAGAGGGCGGACGGGCGCCTTAAAGTGCACTGCCAGTCCGTCTCAGTCTCCATCTTCGTCTCCGTCTCCATCTCCGTCTCAGGCAAACTGCAAACTGTCAGCCGGGCAGGATATTGTGTTCACATGGCCGCAGCGCAAAGTGTGTCAACTCTGAGATTTTTCTATGTGTGTAGGTGCGTCTCCTTGAATACACAAGCACGGCGCATTAACGATGGCCAAACTCGAATGAGAAATACTTATTCCACGGTATGGCATATCGCTTACCCACTCCCTTTTCCTGCTTCGCAATCAACTAGACGGCTTTTCAAATCAGCTTTTCTTTTGCTTTGCTTCCTGCTTTGGCAATAATTCGCAGTGCGCGTTCAAAATTCAAGTGCAGGCGAAAATCGAATTAAATAAACAAATGCCCAACGTGAGTGAAATACCAACAACAACTACAACAGCAACGACAATGGTTAGGAATGAAAAGAGCAGCATAGCTAAAGCACAGCCACAGTCAGAGTCAAGAAAATATATACACAGTGAGTGAGAGAGAGAGAGCTAAATATATATGTATTCACTTTACAAATACTGGCATATGAGATGTGCGTCTTGATTGTACGTGTGGTACACACACATTCCTTACACACCCACACACACACACACATTTCTGCCATCTCCAATTGTTGCGCGTTCTTTTGTTGTGGCTGTTGTTGTTTTGGCTGTCGCGTTTGCCTTCTTGATAAGCATGAAATTTTAGCACGCTTTCAATAAACTTTTTGGAATATTTGTAAAGCGTAACGCAGCGGCCGGAGCATAGCGAATGCTTTAAGTACCTAAGAAATCATTTGTTTGCCCATATTCCTGATTGTTTCTCTTTGTCCTCTTCTGTTTCTAGCGCGATGTGCTCATACTGGAACCCACTGGCTCCGATATACTCAACTGCGTGTCCAAGGGCAAGCGAGAGGTGCGTTTTAATTGAGAGTTACCCATACATATATATACATATATAGTTAACATAATAATAATCCATAATCCATGCTAAATTAACTAACCGAAATTGCATGCAAATATTACGGCCTTCATCTCGATTCGATACTTATGCATTGCCTTCACATTCTCTATCTGTCCCATTACACACGCACACACACACACACACACATGTACACAATTATTTTGCTTAAACATTTGTTTTCATTTAACGGAACATTGAATCGACATTCGGGCACCTGTCAAGAAGGTGGAGTGCCGCAATCACATACGCGTCATTCAGCCAATGAACTTCAATGGACACCGACTCTACGTCTGCGGCACTAATGCGCACAATCCCAAGGACTACGTTATAAATGTGAGTAGAAGGAAACAAATATATATATATATATATACAATATTTATATATTTATTTATTGCATCAAAAATTCACTGGGCCAGAGCTGGCTGTGTCAGCGCCTAATTGTGAATGTCAGTCAAGCTGGAAGTCAATTTTCCAGCCAGCAGCAAATTCCAAAATTAAAGTCAACTAATGCGCTTTTTCTTTTCTCCTTCTGCCTTCTGCCTTCTCCAACTCCATCAACATCTCCGTCTCCATCCAGGCCAACTTAACACATTTACCCAGATCCCAGTACGTGCCCGGCATAGGGTTGGGCATCGGCAAGTGTCCCTACGATCCCGCTGACAACTCAACCGCCGTCTATGTGGAAAACGGAAATCCCTTTGGTTTGCCAGCGCTGGTAAGTCCAAGTCTCAGCCAAGTCGCGTAATGCCGACGGAAAGAAAAAGAAACGCAAAGAGAAAAGCAAGGGCAAAAACAGGCAAGAAGAAAAAATAAGGGAAAAATGTCAATTGTAATAAAATTACAAAAGTAAAGTAAAGGCAAAGGCGAAAGAGAGAGTGTGTATGTAAGAGAGAAAGAGAGAGAGAGCGAGAGAGTGAGAGAAAAGTAGCGAGAAGGAAGGAAGCGACAAAGTTCTGTGCGGCTATGGGAGGTCAAATGGCAAGAAATTTAAAAGAGTCGCAATAAAGCAGCTGAAATTAAATTAGAGTGAAGCACACACACACACACACACACACATGTACATGCACACACACACACATACGCAGAGTCAAACACTTGCAAAGAATCGGCTATGAGGCACGTGCTTACACTTTACGCGTAATTGTGTGCGTGCCTGTGTGTGCGTGCCTGTGTGTGCGTGCATGCATGTGTGTGCGTGTATGTCCGTTTGTGTGTGTGTGTGTGTGTATGTGTGTGCTACATTTCGCCTTTGCCTTGGCAAATCAAATTTCCCGAATATTTGGCGCTAATTTGCCAGCATTGCTTGCGATCCAACTCAGAGCGACTTCAGCATAATCCATTTCCCTCAACTTTCCACTTTCCACTTTCCACCAGTACGCGGGCACAAATGCGGAATTCACCAAAGCCGACTCGGTTATATTTCGCTCGGACCTCTTCAACTTTACCAATGGCCGCAAAGAGGCCAACTTCAAGCGCACCGTTAAATATGACTCCAAATTACTAGACAGTAAGTATATATAGAGCTACAAATGGGTATTAATTTATCTGAATTTATTTTATATTTAAAATTATTATTATATATTATTTTTAATGACTTAAGGTATATTTATAAAATATTTTTTTTATTTGTTACATTAATATAACATAAATAAATAAAACAAAAAACTTGGATTTCTCTGCAGAATATGTTAAATATCTTGTATATAGTATAAGACAGACTGAAAATAAAATGGAAAGAGAAAATTAAAATATAGAGCATATAAAACTTAAAGTTGAGCTTGCCTAATTCTCATTGAATGAATTTTAGTTTCCTTTGCTTAAAGATTTCAGTTTCTTCTACAAATCGCTGCAAAATGTTTGCCAATCAAACTTTATATAAAACGAAAATATATTTAGACTTACATTTTTGATAGTTTTCTTCTGATTTATATTTTGAAAAAGGAAGACAAGATATATAAAATAAATATTATAAAATATGAAATGATTTTTATGTATTTCAAGAATGTACAAAATTAATGTTTTTTTTTCAATTGGTGTTGGTTGAAATAATCAAACAAAAAGTCAATCGAATAAAGAAATTTGAAATTAAATTAAAAAAAAATATATATATATATTAAAAAAATATATATTAAAAATACGAAATGATTTTTATTTGCTTCAAGTATGTGTAAAAAATATAAAGAATTTATTTAGTAAACTTTATGACCTCTTAAAATATACTTATTAATATATTATAAATTCAGCAAAAATTTAGCTGTTTATATTGAAGAAACACAGATAATATGAAATCACAGTACTTTATAATACATATTTTATATAAAATAAATTTAATATAATTTTATTAACTATTAAATTCTTTATTATATCTCCAAAATGTTACCCAATTTTCTCTACAATCCATTTCCATTTGCCATTTCAGAACCAAATTTCGTTGGCTCCTTCGACATTGGGGACTTTGTGTACTTCTTCTTCCGCGAGCACGCCGTGGAGTACATCAACTGCGGCAAGGCCGTCTATTCGCGTGTGGCACGCGTCTGCAAGAACGATCGCGGGGGCAAGTACATGATCAGCCAGAACTGGGCGACGTATCTAAAGGCGCGCATGAACTGCAGCATCTCGAGCGAGTTCCCCTTCTACTTCAACGAAATACAATCCGTCTACAAGATGCCCAACGACGACAGCAAGTTCTATGCCACGTTTACAACGAATACAAACGGACTGATTGGTTCGGCTGTCTGCAGCTACGATATCCGGGATATCAATGCGGCCTTTGAAGGTTAGTGGGTGACTGCATGAAATATATATCTATATGTATGTGTGTGTGTGTGAGTGTGGGCGGGCCAATGGGTGTGTGCCCACTATGCCTGTGTCTGTGCCGGCGTCGGCGTCGGCGTCTGCGAGTGTAAGCGTGAGATTTATTGCATTGGCAATAATTCTCTGCGGCGCCATTTTTACGAACGTGCATGCGGCTACGTTTGACTTCTTCCAGCATTTCCCATTACGTAGGGCTGCAGCTGCCGGAAGAAATTACGCTCACAGGTGCTGCATGTGTGTGTGTGCGAGTGTGCGTGTGTGTGAGTCGTGCCGAGAAGCTTTGGCATTTTAGCGTTAAATGGTGCGAGCTGAATTGATGTGCCTGCCAGTGGGGCTCGTTGTGCGGCTTTAAATGCTTTAACATTTGCTACAAAACGGCTCGACTGGTGGCACTGCTCCTGCTGCTCCTGCTGCTGCTGCTACTGCTGGCGTGCTGCATGCTTAACGGTAACTAGATATGCGTGACAGGTGCTAACAGCCCACCTGTACCTGTACAGTTGCTGCTCCTGCTGCATGGTGCATGCTCGCCTGCCAGCCACACGCAATCCAAACGCATGCGATTTGCAATGCAACAAAATCTGGCATGCACCCCGAAATGCATGTCATATATTTTAATCCTAGTGGCAGTCTCCTCAGCCACAATATGCGCATAAATTGCGTGCCTCTCCACCCGCTCTCGCCCCTCATGCGAAATTCACTGTACGAAATGTCTGAGGTGACGCCAGCAGCAGCAGCAGCAGCAGCAGCAGCGACATTTGCCGATTTGGTGGCAGCCTCTGAAGCTCATTTCCTTAAGCTATTGCTGTTGAATAACATTTGCGAAGGATCTACAAGACTTGCGTACATAGAAATTTTAGATTATAAAGAGAAAAGAGTGAGAGAGAAGGAGAGGGAGAGCGAGAGAGCAGAGCTTGCTTCAAGAATATTGAATACTTAAATAATTGAAATGCTGAAATTATTTTTGATATAAAGCACAAATTTATTATTTAACAACAGAATGCAATTTGACTTCTCAAAAATCTTTAAATATGATCTCATTGTAGAAATCAAGTAAATAGGAAAATAAAAATATTTTGTAATGCAATATAGAATTAAAATTATTATAAAAATAAAAATTTATATAAAATTTAAATTTAATAAGTTCATAAATATTAAAAAAATTGATAAAATAATAATATATAAAAGAATAAAAAATTATTAAGAAAATATTTATATATATGAAGTATTATGTAAATAAACAAAAAATTATTAAATTAATTAATTAAAAATTAAATTAAAATGTGGATGAAATCTAGCAATTATAGTTTATTAAAAATAATTAAAATATATAATACATTTTTAATTAAATTTTATTAAATTCTCATATAATTAAATTTATAAATTCATATTTAATAATAGTTTATTTATGTACTTCTTGGGCTCTGTTATTTGCATGTCAAACTAAGATTTCTTAATTTCCAATTTAAATGAAATAATTTTCTTATTTTTGCATAATATTGATGCCAAGTCATATTAGCGTGTGATTACTGTTTCTATAAATAACACACATAAATTTGTTTTCCAACTCTGTTGCCAAATTCAAGTGGAGCAATTGTGTGTGTGTGTGTGTGTGTGACAGCACTTTGCTCAAAAGTTCATTAACACCATAAAAATTGTGCGCATGGAGCCGTGCCAGAGCACTCATCTCATTCAGTTAGGCCAACCGACAGCAGACAGAAGACAGACGACAGCAGACAGCCGACAGTCGACACAGCGCCAAAAGGCGAATGGCAGCAAAAAATCTGGCATACACTTAAAATTCATTATGAAAAGTTTTGCGGGCATGTTGCAATACACATGCATAGACATACATACATATATATCTATATAAAATATATAGAAAAAAAACTCCAGCAATGTGTGAAAAAATGTAGTCGAGCTATTGCCAAAGTAATTAATTATGAAAAACAAATGATTATGCAGCAAACACTTCAACTCTCACTATGTATGTGTGTGTGTGTGTGTGTGTGTGTGTGTGTGTGTGTAATTAGTAGCTCGAACTGTTTTACTTTTGGCCAGACTCCGGCTGTGGCCCGGGGCCACAAATCAGCGCAGAGAGCTCTGCAATTTATCATTTACCACAGCGCTGACACACATAAATTTAACATAGCATACTTTTCAGCGCTGCACATTTATGCAACCTATAAAATAAAACACTCTCTCATGCTCGTTCTCTTTCTCTTTCTCACTCTCATTCTGTTTCGATTTCTGTTTCTGTTTCTCCTTTGGCAGGCAAGTTCAAGGAGCAGGCGACATCGAACAGCGCCTGGCTGCCCGTGCTGAACTCGAAAGTGCCGGAGCCACGTCCGGGCACATGCCACAACGACACCGCAACATTGCCGGACTCGGTGTTAAATTTCATACGCAAACATCCGCTAATGGACAAGGCGGTCGATCATGAATTTGGCAATCCGGTATTCTACAAACGAGACGTTATACTCACCCGCCTCGTCGTCGACAAGTAAGTAAAATGTGTAAATGTATTCATTAGCGAACTGGAGCAGGAGTGGGAGCAGGAGCAGGAGCAGGAGCAGGCCTCTTGGCAAGCAGCCACGTATTCGCCTCAGCAAGTTGACATTTGCCAAGTTTATACAGTGCACCACTCGCTGCACTAGCCACAGCCAACAGCCAGCAGGCAGAGCCAGAGTCAGGCCAATGCTGACATTTGGGAGCACTCGCTCACTGACAGCATAAAAATCCTGGTCTTTTTTTTGGTTTCCTCTTTCTGCTGTTGCTGTTGCTGCTGTTGCGAGTGTTGTTGTGTCGCATAACGACTTGTAAAATAACTTGGCCGGAACTTATGAACATTGCGCCGCAGGATATGCTTTTAGTTAAACGCTTTGTTTTGCTGCTGCACACAGATGAAGAAGCAGAAGAAGAAGTAGTAGCTGAAAGCCAGCGAGGAGGAAAAAGTTAGCCAAGTCGCGTGCATTTGAGATTTGTTGCACAAAAACTGTCCGCACAGAGGAGACTTGTGCGATTTATCAACTCAACTCACTCTCTCTCTCATTCTCTCATTCTCTCTCTCTAGAATACGCATTGATAAACTGAACCAAGAGTTTCTGGTCTACTTTGTGGCCACGAGCACTGGGCACATCTATAAAATCGTGCAGTTCATGCACTACGGCCAGCGGCACTCGAATCTGGTGGACATCTTTGAGGCGTCGCCACGCAACGAGCCCATACGCGAGCTGACCCTCAGCCAGAAGACGGCCTCGCTCTACCTGGCCACCGACCATCAGGTGAAGCAGATCGACCTGGCCATGTGCGCGCGACGCTACGACAGCTGCTTCCGGTGCGTGGCCGATCCGTACTGCGGCTGGGACAAGGAGGTGAATGCCTGCCGGCCGTATCAGCTGGGCCTGCTGCAGGACGTGGCCAACGAGACGTCCGGCATCTGCGACACGAGCGTGCTGCGCAAGCGCGTCACCTCCTCCTACGGCCAGACGCTGCACCTCTCCTGCTTCGTCAAGATGCCCGAGGTGCTGCGCAAGAAGCAGACGCGCTGGTACCACCACTCCACGGAGAAGGGACGGTGAGTAGAGCCAGGGTAATTGAATATTTGGACAGCCTCTGAGCCGAGCCAATGAGCATTGAAAGCAAATAATGAAATCGGAAGTGCAAACGAAACTTAGCAATGGCTCCCTCACCCAGCCCAGCCCAGTCCCCCAAGCATGCCCAACCCAACCCAAGCACCACCCTCCAAATCCAGAGGCTGCCAATGCTGCGGTAAATTGACACTTTAAAATGTTGCTCAAGTCCGCTCGCTGTTTGGCGTTTACGCTTATTTTGGCCGGGCACCGCAGCGGCACAGGGCGTATCCGTCGCTCTGGCTGTCCGTAATGGAAAAAGTTTCAGCTGGCGCTGCGAAAGTTTCACACACAGTTTATATTGATTTTTATTGTGCGTTGCCAATGAGACACTTTTTCACTGCAAATGGAAATGGAAAATTCGAATATAGCAAATAGAAAATCTCCTTATCTCTGCCACTCACTCACCCCCTCTCGCTTTCTCCGCCTCCTTGCAGCTACGAGGTGCGCTACACGCCCACCAAATACATCGAGACCAACGAGGGCGGCCTGGTACTGCTCGCTGTGAATGAGGGCGATGGCGGCCGATACGACAGCTATCTGGATGGCACCCTGCTCTGCAGCTACGGCGTCACCGTGGATGCGCACAGGTGAGTGGAGCAACCCCATTTGAATTTTCACGCGCCTCGGGCGTCAAAATATCCGTGGCGCAATTAGAAAGTGGAAACTTTCGACTTTTCTGACTATATTTGTGGTCTGGCTGCAAATGTAATTTACCGACGATAACTTATTGTGCTCTCCTCTCTCTCTCTCTCTATGTATCCCTCTCTCGCTTTAGATGCTCGCCTCCTTCGCAGAAGCAGGACTACCAGAAGATCTACTCGCACTGGTGCAACGAGTTCGAGAAATACAAATCAGCCATGAAGCAGTGGCAGGCCAAGCAGGAGGTAAGCCCAATGCAAAGCAATTAAATATACATTTCACAACTGGCGTCAGCTGTCGTTAATTGTTTTAATTAATTTTGCATGCAAATCTCTGATTCCAGCGCCTAATTTCCATGTTATTCCGCCAGCAATTAACGAAATTCTAATCCAATTACGTTTGTGTCGTTATTTTTTTGTAGCAATGCGGCCTCAAGGACAAATCAGCAACAAGCAGCAGTGGCGGCAGCAGCGGCAGCAGCAGCAGCAGCGCCAGCAGCAGCAGCAGCAGCAATGGCAAGCATGTCAACGATGTGTTTAGCAACGACGCCCTGGTCTGACCCAGAAGTGAGTATGCGACTCGACGCAGTTTGCTTGCCCCAGCTGCCCCCACTCCCCATCCCCCTTAAATATACAAATCCCAACAAAATTAACTCATGGCCTTTGCCCACTTCTGTGCCTCTTCTGCTCCCTTTCGAACCATGCTGCCCACGCTCAGAGTACTTGTACAGCTCCGAGTTCTTGTCGGCGGGCTCACGCCCCAGTTTTGGCCAGCACTTGTACATTTTCGTGTTTCTGCTAGCCCTGTGCACTAGTTTCTAAAAGTCTCTAGTCGAAGTAAGTTGAAGCTGCAGCTCAGGCTGTGGCTCTGGCTCTGGCCCTGGCTCGAGCCACGTCTAATCCTGGCCAATATACAAATGGATATTAATGTTTGCTTTTCATGTTTGCCATTCCATTTGCTTACAGCTAGCCAGAGCGACAGCAACAACAACAGCAACAGCAACGAGCAGCAGCAGCAGCGAAGGGATGGAGAGTACCAGCACCCAGAAGGCAGTGACAAGAGCCGAGCAACCAACTACAAAGACTGAAATTTTTAAGCTTTTGAAAGACAATATTTCAATATGTTTTCAATATGTGTTTTTATTTGCTTCATTTACACACACACACACACACATACATATACATATATATATGCACCAATATATATATATATATTGTTTAGTGCTCTTCGTTTGGCATTCAAATTAACAAAACAGCAAATATCAAATAGCAAACGTCTCGATTGATTTCCATATGAAAGTACACCGAAAACATATACACACACACATACATACACACATACATGTACATGCATATAGCCAGAATGAAGTGGAGAAGGCGCTAAGCAAGTGTAAAGAGTAAACGCTAAAAAGTTACTAACAAAAGGATCCTGCCATAATGAAAAATGGAAAATACGGTTTTACATGGAACAGAGAGTCGCTCTATCTATATCTTACACTCACACTCTCTGTCTCTGTCTCTATTTCTAACTCTAATTCTATTTCAATAGCGACTGCGATTGCTTCAAGAAGGAAAGAAACGAAAATACGAAAGAAAATAACAGAAAAAAAAATAATAATACTAAATTATGCTAAGATATTTACTCGTAATACAACCACCTACAGGACACGAACACACACACACTCATATATATATATATATACAGATATTCAATTTGAGCTCAACATTTTCTTGCCTCAGTTTGTGTATATATTATTTAAATGTTTTGTGCATTGCGAACGGCACAAATCTAACAAAACAGAAAAAATAAAAATATAAAAAAAAAATAAAAGTTAAATAAAATACAAAAACAGAGACAACGTCGCTTGGCCATGGGAAGATCTTAAACGAATTTGTATATTAACTAGCAATATTTGTTTAATAATTCTAGTATTAGTTATACGAATAGCTATGTATAAATAGTTCGTAGACAACAAAAAACAAAAGTTTATGCTCGGTATTTTACGGAACCAAAATTTCAACAAATACTTCTAGAAATCAGCCCAACTTCAGCTAGGTTAAGGCGAGAGTTTGTACATAGCGCTGCTTTAGTTGTAATCGCAGAACTTTAACCGTACACATTAAGCATAACGTACATTTAGTTTTATTCCTGATTTGAGAGAGACGAGTTTTTTAACGGCTAAATGAAAACACGCTAACGGCATTTGGGCCGTTGTTGTATAGATGGCGCGTTAGCCTGATGTTTACTATAAGCAATATATATGCGTATACACATAGTTACTGCATTGAGACCAACATGCTCACACACACACACACACACAGACACTCATATATCTATATATATAGGGATACTTAACCATAGCTATAAGTCAGTTGGTGTGGCAAATACATTTTAGTAAATCTGGAAATGGCAGTAGAAGAAAATATTGAACGAATATACAAGAGAAATATGAATTGAACTGCCAGCAGCACTCAAACACACACACACACACATACATGGAAAACTAAACGCTTCTCTCTGAACGATGAGCCAGAGCGAGAAGCCTGGCCACATTATCGAAGAAGTGCATATATACAGATAATCCATATGTACTTAATATATATATACATACATACATACATATATATATGTATGCTACGTAAATTAATGAAATATTTTTCTAAAAGTTTTCTCAGCAAAAGCCACAAAATTTTAATGTTTCCATCTAGAAATTATCCACACACTCACAAATAGAGATCAACCGAAATACAGAAACGTTTTAGCTTAATCCTCGGATCTAACCATTGTAAATGAACTACGAATAAAAAAAATATAAAAACAAAAACAACAAATATTTCCATGTATTTTTCAGCTAATCATGCTCTGAGCTTCTGACTTGAGACACAAGTTTCTTTTGCTTTTGGTAGACCATTTGATTTCGATTTATTGTAAATAATTCAAAGATTATGTGAAATGTTTTGTATGACAATCACATGATGTTGAGCAAATAAAAATATGATGACCCGTAAATGAAGCAAATTGCAATGTCGGTATTTGAATAACAAGAGTAAACAAAAACAAAAACAACTAATATAACAAAAGTAAAGAATTACATATTTAATATAAACTCAATCTATATATATACACATAAGTATATATATACACATATATATATATACATATTCTTTATATAGTTAAAATAGCAACAACAACAAATCCTTGTAAAAACTAAAAACAACAACAAAATTATATACTATTCGAGGCGTACCATAGAAGAACCCCGTTTTACAAAGTATTCATACAATAAAATATATATAAAAAAAATTACAAAAAAAAACATTAATAATTCGCGCTTGAAGTACATTTGCATATATACATTTACGTATGTATACAGTTTTCTGTCTATGGTAAACTAATCATAAATAAATATATATATATATGAAGAATTATTACTACAAAATATAAAAGAAGAGGAAGAAAAATTTAAACACAGCTGCCCTGAAGAACGTATCATGAGCTATCTAAAAATTTCGTAAAAATAAAAAAGAAAAATGGTAATAAAAGTAAATAATTATGAAAACTTACAATTAAACAAAAAACTTAGCTGTAAACATTAAAAAAAAAAAAAAAACAGAAAAAAATGCAGTAAATAAATGTGATAAGATTCTTTAATAGAAAATGTGTGTTTTCAATTTTGGGCAGGTGTAAAATATGAGGAAAATATGCTTATTCATTTATAGACTCTGTAAATGATATTGTAATTTTCTTGAGTAAAAATTTCAAGCCAATGTCTGCGCGCGCTTACATCCCCGTATTCCCAGGGCTCTCGCGCTTCAAACCATTCATAATAGTCCCATTTGCGTGTTACCTTTGCGCTGGCCAGGTGCATACTTTAAAAAGTTTTCCTTAACTGGCGGCAGCATCAGTTGTGAATTGTTCCCGGAGCTTAAGTCTAAGAACATATTTAACATTTACGGCTGGCAGGGCGGCTGCCTTCGTCTGCCACCTTCGTCTAGGGGTGCTAAGTGTATTTCTGTGTAAGTACTTATTTGTTTATGCTTTGGGTAAATAGAGTTTTGTTTCAGGCTCTTAACTACAAATGTTTAGTTCAATTTGCACCGGCAAGAGCTACGAAAGGGTAGGTATGAAGGAGCTGCCTCTAATTTACTTTGACTGTTCAATATTGTGGGGCTTAGAGAATTACAGAATTTGTATGTAAATTGAGCGCAGAGGTGGAAGTGATTGCTGGAATATAGAATGGAAGAGAATGGCTAATAAATCTGAATATATTTGACTATATATTGAGGTAAAGCAAATAATATTGTTCAACTGTATTGGTGATATTATTAATAAACCTCTACTTTGTATTTATGTACGTTACGTTACGTTATATACGTTATAAAAAATATGTTTAAGATTATATATATATATTTTTTTAAATTTTATTAAGTGTATTATTATTTTTCGATTTATTTATTTATTTATTTTTTTTAATTTAATTTGGATTCTTTTTATTTATTTATTTATTTTGAATTCATTTTTTGTATTTATGTAGATTGTAAAACATATGTTTAAAAATATATATTTTGTATTATTATTATTATGTTTTATATTATTTTTTTTTTTTTATACTTAACATTTTATTTATTTAAATTAGGTCACATTGCTCAAAAAAATAAAAATAAAAATAATCAAACAAAAATTCTTGAATCACTTTTTGTTATGTTTATATCCAAATATGTTAAACTATTCTGTAGTATATAAAAATATATACATTTTTATATTTTAAATATTAATTTTAATTATTTAATAACTACATCTGGCCAAAATGGTACGCCCCTTCAAGCATTTATTAAAAGAATATAAATATTTCGCAAGACCACACTGCGTATACTTAATCTTCACTCATAGTCTATTTCGCTTACCTACTGCACACCCCCTTACATCATTTTTCATTTCACATGGTATGCACCTTTAAACATGTATTCGAAGAATATGCCATAAATATTTGAAAAGGCCACGCTGCGTATACTTAACCTTCAGCCATAGTCTTATGGACTTGCCTCATTCTCCAGCCAAACTTTATATACAAAAAAAAGTTTTCTCTCAGCTTTATTTGTGTCCCCACAGCATAGCTCTAAGTGCAGCATAATAATATGTTATACCCCACACATTAAGTTGATCAAATGTTGCTCGAACTGGCGACAATTAATCAATGCACGATTCCGGGCAGCAAATAGAGACATTTAACTAGTATTTTGAAAAAATGCCATAGCTATATATAAATACATACATATATGTACGATATATATATATGCTTTCCAATTAGCTGTAGCTGGGCAAAGGCGATTGCCTGACCTCAGGTCATTTCGCGTTGTTAACCGCAAAGAGAGGCGGGGCAGATGGGGAGCAGGCAGTTGCTGTATGTATTTCATTTGGCATATTGATAAATGAAATGAAACTCACATGAGACGCTGAGAGGGGAGGGAGAGAGAGGGAGAGTGAGGGAGAGAGTACACAAAAAACACGCTTCCCAGTGGAGTACCTGTCAATGGCAGGCACTGACACACACACACACACTTGCATACACATGCGCATGCAATTTAATTTGGCTGCCTCTTTGTTGCGGCTTTGTTTTGCGCCATTTTACGGTGGTTGTTTCAATTTATTATACAATACAACTGCAATTGGGATTGTTGTTTTTAATAGTTTCAAGCTCGAGCACCAGCGGCGGGGGTCAATAACACACACACACACACACACACACACTCGTGTGCAGACCTGGGTTGACATGTAAAACTGTGCATGCAGCTAATTGCCCAGCGACTGTGACTAGACTGAGCCAGTCAAGGCGATCCTGGAAAGCTTGCGCCGCAGTCAAATAATTGCCATACCAGAGATATGCAATTTGAGTTGCGCTTTTATTAATTATTTAATCGATAAGTGGGGGGGCTAGGACTAAATGCTCTCCTGATAGTAGTGCTTCGACTCGGCGGTGCCAATGTGCTGATCGCCGGTGCAGTAGAGCTCGGGAACAGTGTCCGAGTACTGGGGGTTGAAGAGCATGCTCTTTATGTAGGCCATGGGATCGACGGGCTCGGGCCAGAGCGTGGCGAGGCTATGCCGATATGCGTAGGTGAAGACAGCCTCGGCTATCTGGAGATTCACGCACTTGATTTTGCTCTGGGGCGGGTAGACGTTGCGCTTGGC